TCAGACCCAGTCCATTCGCTGCAACTCACTTCGGTGTAGGATCCAGTGAGCGCAGTGTGACCTACAGTGGAAAGATTGTGATCAGTACATAATTTAACCGTGCTGTCTGCCACTCACCTGACGGGAAGAACACGCCAGCGCCTCCTGTGTCTTCGCAAATGTCGAAGCTACGGGGTACCAAGGCCGCGATGAGTGGTTTGACATTTTCCAGCTCCTGGCACATACTGCACTGGCATCCCATACTGGTTCTCGCTGTCCGACGTAGTCTGGCCGCACCACACCTCGTTCCCCGACGCAGGGCACAAATCTTGTGGCGAGCACCTTCAGCATGGGCCTCCCACCGTGTAGTATCCGCATGTTCTCACCGGTAACCTTGACGACAATGGAATTGAATCTGCGGGCGAGTCTGAGCACTGCGAAAGCCGGTACCCTAGCCAATCAACACTCACGGCCCAGAGTAATCCGGGCTGTATGGATCTGCGCTGCCCGTGAGCTGAAAGCAACGTCCGCAGGCGTCACCAGGGCCTGATCCAGGCGCGGAGCCGAAGGACAGCTGGTTCATCGCGGCGGTGTATCCGGTCGCTGGTATGCCGCACGCTAGGGGACGAGTCTCGTTGAGTCTCGTTGTACATGAAGATAAGGCATTCTACATACCAGGGGAGCCGCAGCCAGAGTATTGCGTGAAGGACGCGCTAGCAGAAGGCTCCTGATAGTATCCGTTGGCACCAGAGGCACCAATGGGACCGACGGCCACCAGTCCAGCAGCCGCGAGGAGGTACATCCACTGCATCGCTCTTCAGTTGGCTGAGTACGCGAGGTAATTGGTATGGAGATGCCCACTCTTTTATACCTCACTGTCGGATATCATGATGTTCCCAGGTGATATCCTGAAATACACACGGACCGGAAGACATGTCAACCTCAATGCACACCGCGTTGCGCGGCCCTGATGACACTGTGCCAAATGAACCGCATGTGTCAGTTCCTAGGCGCTCGCCATACACCTACAGCATGTGCATGAGCTGTGAGCTCCGTTCTCGCGTGCGAGCGCCGAGAAGGGAGGCATTCAAAGAACTGCAGTCACCGGGGATCCCATGTTCTATTAACTTACATTAGCGTCCATTGCGAAGACACGCAGTGTTGGGACAGACGTACCATACACAGTATAATTTGGACAACCGCAATTGACAGAATGACGCTACCGCGATCGACGTGCATATGTTCGCGTCGGCGTAACTTCGCTACGCTTTCACTGTAAGTATTAGCTGACAGTCGTGTTCTTGAACAAATGAACGGATCACGTCGAAGGCAATTCCACGCCAGAATCAAGGTGAGACAGAGAGAAAACAATGGGGAGAGCCCCGTTGCAGATTGAGATTGAGTCTGAGAGATACAGGGAGTATTAACCATCTTTACGTCAGTCGACTATCGTACCGGTATCGAGTGCAAGCGGGGGATCATTCGACTCCAACGGTCGCAGCAAGCCAAAACAAAGCTCGTCGGCGAACGCAGAAAAGGGAAAGATCAGCATAGGGTACCATTTCCGGGCGAAAGGAAGCAAATAGTGGGACGAAGATCAAGTGGATAAAGAAGGAACAACCAATAGCCCAAGGTCCGCGAATGTACATGTAGTATGTTGGCGCACCCAACCATGACAAGTCGGCGACACCCCGCCCAGCCGAACTCGGGCGTGAACGAACGCACGACAGTGACGGCCAACCACCTCGGTGTGCGGATCCGAAACCAACCGTACTCCATCCACTATTTGGGAATGATTTTGAGGGACATTGCGCAGGCCTTGATCCGATTAATGAAAGGAGAGAGCAGGTGTGCATACAGGGACAGCGATCGCTATTTCACAGGAAGTCGAGGGAAACACGGGTATCCAGAGAGCAAAGACAAACAACGCTGCTGACAGGGAGCATGCGCGGATGGGTGTACAGAGGCTAGTTCGCGGCGACCGGGACGCCCTGCGGAGCGTCAATCGGCGTGACAACAATGTCGGCCGGTTCCTCCTTGAGATCCTGAGTAAGGAAAACGGCATCCATACCCTCGGCGGGCGGCTCGATGGCGCTAACAGGACCCGCGGAAGCAGGACCATTATGGCCACTGGCAGACCGCCGGGCACCACCGCCCTGAGGACCAGACCGGGGCGGGTTAGCGCAGCGATCCTTGCCGTGGGCGATGCGGAGGTTGGCATAGTCCGGCTTGTTCTTCACACCATCGATGGCCTTGATGGCGTTAGAGATGTTAGTGAAGTTAACGAACGCGCAGTTCCTGCCATGATGATCAGACATATTCCAGGACGAAACGTGTCATGACTTACTTCTCCTTAAGGAAGTTCACGAGTTCGATGTCGCCGTACTCGCCGAAGTCCCTCTTCAGCTTCTCGTCGTTGAAGGAGTCGAAGTCTTCGATGTTACCGACGTAGACGTTGCGAGTGGCACCGCCGTGCACAGCAAGGGCGAGAGCAGGAGGCAGAGGCCCCGAGTTCTTGCCCCAGCCGATCTTCAAGCGGCGGTTATTCAACGTCAGACCTTGGTAAGACGCGACTTGGAAAAAGGTAAGGGACGCAGCAGGGTCGATGAATGTCACGAACTGCCATGCCGGGACAATCATCAGTATATCACACACCACGGAAATAGATCAACACTGACAGCGATATGCTTATCCTGCATGTACCTAATGCTCTGCAAGACACCACCCCGGATAGCGTTGCACAGGTCCTCCGTGGTCGTCTCGGGGTGAATGTTTCCCAAGTAGACTGTACGGTTCAGGGCCTGCGGGGAGGCAAGTCCGCCGAGACCATCCGGCGAGAAAGGCATGTACGGCGTCAACGGCGACGCGAAGCTCGGGCCATTCGTCTGCAGGGGCGAGAGCGACGCGGCGGCGGACTGCGCCACGAGCGACTGAGCAGCAGCAGCCTGCGCGGCCTGCGCTGCGGCTTGCTGCGACTTGGGGATGTAGGCGCAGCGGTCCTTGCCGTAGTTGACTCGTTTGCCGGCCCATGCCGGCTCTGTCGGCAGCGTGTTCACGACCTAAAGCATAAGTGTGATAAGTACCATGTAACGTCGCTCAATCGTCGTGGCTTACCTTAGTCGCGACAGCGATGCTCAAAAAGTGAACAAACCCAATGTTCTTGTCCCTCACGATCTTCACCTGGTCGATTAAACCAAAGCGGCTCAAGTCGTCCCTCAATTGCTCCTCCGTCATGTTCTCGTCCAACCCTCCAAGGTAGACATTCCTGCTCGCATTGCTCTGCTGGATCGCAAGTGCGACCTGGCTGGGCACCGCAGACGGCTTACCCCAGCCGATCTTGAGCTCCTGACCGTGGAGCGCCAGCTTCTTGATCAGCGCGTCCGCGTGGAACGCCGCTGCCGTGGCGCCGTCGAGGAACGACAGGAACACGCAAGACTTCTCGGGCAGCACGCGGATCGACTCGAGCGGCCCGAAGTGGACAAGGTTGAGTAGCTCGTCGACGGACGCTGTCGCAGGCAGGTTTCCGACGTACACCGTGCGGCCTGTCGCGTTATTCTGTGCGGAGAGCGCCGCACTGATGGCCGCAGGTGAGTACGGGCCCGCGGTGGGCGTGCCGGGAATCTGCAGCTGAGGAAGCCGCTGCTGATTTAGGTTCTGGAGCATCACTCAGACGGGAACGGCCCCCAGCCAAAGGTACGCACCTGTGCGAAGTTGGCCATGGGGTTACCGTACTGGAACCCGTTCAACATGTTCATCGCGGGTAAGCCCATTCCGAGCATGTTGTACCCGCCGAAACCAGGGTAGGGGCTGTTCTGGCCGTTCGCCGACGGCTGTTGCTGGGAGGGCGTATACGGGCCAGCGGTATTCGGACTCATCTGCGACGGCATGCCGTTCGGGGACGTGTTCGTGTTGATGCTCAGCTGCGGCGTCGAGTACAGCGCGTTGCCATTGAAGCCGTTCGTGGGCGAACCGTTGTAGCCGGACTGCATGTTCGCGTTCGGGCCATAGCCGTAATTTGCAAAAGCGTCGCGGTTACCAGAGAGACCGTTAGTACCGTTCGAACCGAACGAGGTCGGCGACCAGCGGGCTTTTTTAGCGTCGGGGCCACCTACAGCGTCCATAGATCTCTGCAGCAATGAAGTAGATCAGTTGACGTGTCCAAGAAGTGGGGGAATGTAGACATGAAAAACAGATGAGTGACGCAGAACAATCATTTACAAGCACGACATTTGAGTCAACAGCAACCGATGATACGGCGCTAAGAACACCCCCTTGCACTGGTTAGGCAGCCGGTGCTTCTCCGAGCCCGCAATGAATGTCCATCAGGACCTGTCACCGCAACCCCGCAGAAGTTGGCAACTGGCTCCACCCAGCGATACAACTTTACACGATTTTTGCTAGTGCGCGTCTCGCCGATGCAAACACCATCATCATCACAGTGCAGGTGCGTCAGCTCAACCCAAAGAATCGGGGAAGGATTGTACGCGCGTATAGGCTCTGTGGTACTCCACGAATTGGCCTGACAGAAGCGGTGGAACGTGAAAGGAATCCTGTCGTCAGGCTACCATACTGGTATCTTGGCGATAACCCTCGCTCCCATTGCGTAAGTAGTGCGATGGGTGAGCGTTTTAAAATCGCAGCCCTTTGCAGATGGTCCTAAAACACCCCCTTGCTACGAGAATGCCATACCACTGATACAGACGAAACACGGATGGGCTGGTGTGGGGCTGCTGCAAAGGACTCGAACAATATGTAGCCACAGCTGAGACGCCAATCATTGCATCTCCGGTGTGGTCCGACATAATCCGTGCTGTTAAGCTGGTGCCTCCTACGCCTCGGTACGCAGATCTTTAGGCACCACCAGCAAACTCGGCGTCGTACATGCATGGTCCTGGGACGAGGAGCACGACATCAAGTAGGTAGCTGTGCGCGAAGGAGGAGCCCTGATCCCATGCTGACGAATGGACGGTGTAGCGTAACGCGTCTCTCCGCCAAGGTCCCCAAAACGATGCAAAGACACTGGCTCGCACAGCAATCTGCATCAGTCCGTATACAGGACTCCCTACAAGCGCGTGAGTTGTGGAAAGCGCTGGCTCCCTATCACGTCGGCGTAAGAGAGTCGGATGGCGCTGGCGACTGGTCTTCGGAGTCGCGGTCACCGCCGAGACGGAAGTGCACCCCGCTGGACAAGCACCGTCTGCGCATCAGGCTTCCGGTCAGACACCCAGATCGCAAACCCAGTAGAGCCGACGCGACTCGGGAACCTATCGCCAGCGCTATATACCACCCTCTTGGAGTGTACATCTGTTGAACAGAACATCGGAAGCCATAGACGCACCGCACAGCCGGATGAGCTCACGGACGTGACCTTGGCAGCAGATAGACGTAGGTAGGACGACGCTGCAATGAGAGCAAGTTTGTGTTGCCCGTGAACAGAAGGTGACCACTCGCAGTGTGCATCTGTGCTGTGTAGAAGCCACCCGGCCGTCTGCGTCCATCCATACACTGGCCCTGGATCCCTCTCTCTTGCCCGAAAAACAGCCCAGGAACGTTCTAATGCAAACAAAATGACCAGCAAGCCAACACGGATGCTCACCTTCATCATATCGAGATCGAAATTGTAACCGGGGTATTGCGCAATGAAGGCTGTCTGCGAATCATCCATGGCGGCGTCGGGAGAGGCAGAGGAGTGAAGCGAGGGTGGAGAGGAGGGTTACAACGGACGAAAAGGAGAGCAGGTTAGAGAATGTGTGGGGGGTGACTCTGGCAAAGGAGCGTGGATGGAGAGGGTGGGTTCAGAAAAAGGACACGCACAGAAAGGAGCGCGGCGCGGGTGGGGGCGATATATAGGATTATTTAAATGAAAGCTCTTGAATTCACGCTGCCCAAGCCACGAAAACGAAGACGAGGGACAACGGGCAGGGCGACAGCGAAAACGAGAATCGAAGAAGAGACGAACAAGATGGGCGACCGGCCGACGCTCGACTGCCCCGCCACCTCACGCTCCCACCCTCGGCTATCAGCGCACGGACCACCCCCCATTTCCGTCCATCGCCTGAAACGCGGCTCATCTCTTCTTCCTTCCTATCGTAACAGATTCGCACCAAGGAACCTTCCATAAAAGGTACGCAATCGTACTACGCCCAAAATGTACTTCTATCACTAGCGCTCAAGCCTCCAGGCTACTGGACGTGTCCGTGAATCCACGCGATACACTCGTCCCAAAACCTCTCCTTCACGCCGTCAGGCTCGTTCGAGAGCTCGTGGTATCCGTCCTACGACATAGGCGTCAGTTTTTCGTCCACAAATGAACCAATTTCAGATCGCCCGTCACCCGCCCGCGCAATCGCGTTTATATCCTCGAGACCCAGCCAACGGCCGCGTACTTAATTTTCGGAGCCGGCGCAGAGAAGGCTTCTGCACAGACCCTGTCTCGTGAAACGTCCGCCCAAAGACCTCGCCGCCGAGGTTAAGGGCGGCACGGCACACTCAAGTTGTTCGACGAGCGGCGAACTGGCAGATCGCGGCTGCCTGACAAAGGCCCGCCGCCATTCCAAGTTATTGTAGCCCCAGCTGATGTCCAGACATTGTCCTCAAAAAGGACTCGGAGGCTAAACCCCGCCCAGAGAACACGGCCACAGGACGGGCTTGATCGTCACAGACGCGACAGTAAACGGCGCAATAGCGAACATCACCCACTGTCTCATCTATGCACGTTCAGCACTGTCTGGCTCAGGCGATCCTCAGCATCCAGCGAAGATCGGACTTCGCTAGATACCAGTGCCGCGCAACGACAGATGCCGTTGACATCCGTTCGATACCGCCGACGCGATTGTAGAGCGTTCGTGGTCACGAACGCTGGGACGAGAAGGCCTCAAAGGCAACGGACCCTCTACTAACTGTCCTGGTCGAGCAGACGATGATTCCAACTTAACATCCCCCGATAAGGGAACAGTCCGCCAGCAGCTTCATAGAGGACTAGCGCGACCGCGTCACGGGAGCGAAGGCCAATCGAAACGGCTGAACGCAGATATCCGAGCGGAACCAACAAAGACTTACCTCGTACAGGGACAGCTTCTTGTCTTCTGCATCAAGTTTGCCATACAGCTCCTCGGACGCTTTGTGCGACGTAACCTGGAGGTCCGGCGGAATGATCAGCGCCCAACCACCGGCCGCGAGTCGCGCAAATCGAGCACTCGTCGGCGGACGCACCTTGTCTTGTGTGCCGTGGAAGATGAGGACCTACGCATCGTACGATGGTCAGTGCAGCCTCGGTATCTTGATCGTCACGGACTCACAGGCAGCTTCTGTGGCCAGTTCTTGTAGGAGTCGTACAGGAGGCGCTCGCCCTGCGGCGGACGATCAGGTTCGTGTGGCTGACTCGGAGCTCTGAAAGGAACTGACCATGTTCAGCATGTCGACGACGCCTCTGGCCGTGCCGTGACTTCTCCAGAAATTATCCACTTCGCTTGGGTTGTAGACAGCGGGGTCATGGGACAGATGCTGTCATGTTTGTGAGCGCCAGCATTCATTCACGTCGCGGTTAGATACACACCTCTAGAGGGATATCCACCGGGAATGGAAGCCAAGGAACAATTGCGGCGAGTGCTGCGCCAATCTTACGCAGGAGCTTGGGGGCAGGCGATGGTGGCAGGATGAGCGGGCTTATGCCTATGACTCCTGCGAGCAAGCCGGCCGACTCCTCGGATGGTGGGGGCCTCGGAGTAGGGAATGAGAGCACGAGCCCACCGCCCTGCGGATTGTGAGTGCTCGCTTCGTGACTCGAAGTGGGACCTGCTTACCATGGAGTACCCTGTGAGAAATAGCGGCAGGTCCGGGTGCTCCTTCTTGACGTGCTGGACCCAGAACTCGATGTCACGCATCTGGTCGCCAAACGTCTCCTTGCCGTAAGCAGCATCCTTGCTCCTGTGCTCCACGTCAAGTGCTGTGCGCCCAAACCCGCGCTGGTCAAAGGTGAAGATGGTGATGCCCTTCGTTTGTGCGTAGCGGTGGGCATGCTCGTGTCGTCCGACGTGGTCCAGGAAGCCATGGACGAATATGACCGCCGCGCGAGCCACACCCGTCGCGGCATATGTGCGGGTGTAAAATTGATGTCCTCGGGGGCCTGGTAGCCAGGCTTCGGTATACAGCGTAGAACTGTTAGACGCCATTCTTCACCAGTAGTGCTTGGTACTCTGAGTAGATCAACCCTCGGAGCTCCTGGGTATATAACCCGGGCCGGACTGTGGGGTCAGGAGAGGACCCACTGCTCATGGCGGCGTCGCTGGGCGATACACAGCGTAAGCCTCCCAATGTCATGATACTTGAGATGCTGTTCTGACGCAAACCGGATAGAGTGAAGTCCCAAGGCGAAGTGCGACCGTCCGTGTGAGGATGTTGCTCGATTCCGAGTGACTAAGCGCTGGTATGGGCCGTAGGGAGTCGCGCCCTTCTGCAGGCGATCCGGTGGGGTATCAATGTATCACATGGGAACCAGGTATGTCTACGAATCCCTGGCAAACGAAAGCCGTAGCAGTCATCAACAGACGGAACTGAGCCTCGCATCCGGAAAATCGGACTTACATTGGCACACGGAGACATCTTGCGATTGATCTCGCACTCGCTGTCGATCACGAAATATTGGCGTGTTTTGGGCGTGCTACATATCAAGAATCAAAATACCTTCCAATACCGCTGGACGCATCACAGTGGACAGCAATGTCGACGCACTAATTGGCAGACCTCTTTCTGTCTTAGACAAAACCCAGTCTCCCCGGTAATGGGGATCTTCCGGAGGTCTATGATCAAGCATGTCAGTCGTCGCAACTGATCGCAGGAACCCAAGCAGGAACCGTCAACAAACCGATGATTCGTGACTGGCCCAGTAAGTACCTAACCAACTGTCATCACAGTCATACTTACTGCTCACCAGCATGCAACTACAAGACAGCTCGACCCAGCGATACCTTAGGGAGCAACAGCGTCCTGATCTTCCATGTTTTTACTGCTGCCGTACCTTAGATGAAGCACACGGGCACGCACGGCCCCTCGGAAGTACGTGTCACCACTCGAATAGCCAAAACGCACAAGACTGGCTTAACAGCTCGGATCGACCGTCCAATCGCAATTAATAGGTGCTTCAGAGGCTGATCCAAGAGCAGTGTGCAGTCACTACAATCTTGCCGTCTCGGCGTGCGCCTCTAGGACATGAGCATGGATCCACGCAATGCATTCGTCCCAGAACCTCTCCTTGACGCCGTCGGGCTCGTTCGTTAACTCGTGGTACGCGTCCTGGTAACGCAGTGCGTCAGTATTTCGTGCTTATAATGAATGAGTCACTTCAAGATGCAGGAGTGGCACATGGACGTCAATGTACCAAGACCCAGCCAACGGTCCCGTACTTCATGACCGGAGGAGGGAAGGCTTCTATGCGCAGACTCCGCATCGTGGAATGTCTGCCCAAACACCTCACCGCCGAGGCCAAGGGCAATCGCAACATATTACTCAAGGTGAGCTTGGATCACGGCTGCCTCATCAAGGCATACCGCCACTCTCGGCCCCGGGAAACGGCCATATCGTAGAGAGGCCCTATATAAGGGGACGTCCATCTTCGAAGCGCTGTGCACCTGGCAACTGCACAGTTGGCTGGCGCATCCATGTTGTGGAAGCAAAGCCCCGTCCGACACATCGATTCAGCCCAACGACGGGAGAAGAGACGCACCTCGTATAACGACAGCTTCTTGTCTTCCGCATCGAGCTTGCCATACAGTTCCTCAGACGCTTTGTGTGACGTAACCTGGCGGAGAGCGGTCAGCAGCCGACACGGGTCGCGGAAATCGAGCAATCTACCTTGTCTTGAGTGCCATGTAACAAGAGAACCTGTGCGTCGTATATAATTACTGATCGTGCGTTCATTTACTGATGGGCGTACCGGCAACTTCTTTGGCCAGTTCTTGTACGTATCGTACAGGAGGTGCTCGCCCTAAATCTAAAGGTCAGGATTGCTAACGCCAATTCATGTACGAACTGACCATGCTTAGCATGTCGGCGAGGCCCCTAAATGTACCGTGCTTCTTGATGAGGGGGTCTGGGTCGATCGCGTTGCAAACAGCAGGGTCGTGGGATAGATCCTGTCCAACCCGTGAGCATCCATATTCCGTAGCGAACAGAACTGTCCAAGTGTGGCGCCGACGATCGGCAGAAGAGACCCAGTACATGGCCAACGTGATATTGCGCCCGGCGTGCTCTAAGTACTGGTATCGGGCTGGAAAGGCAAACACGACACGTTGCAAATATGTTTGTTGCGCGCAAGTGTGTATCCACACTATGTATATCTGGCATTCCAGCAAACCAAAATATCAATGGGCGTCCTTGCGAAGTGCAGACTTGGTGCAGACATGGGAATCGGAGTCGGCTCGAGCGGCACGACTCGCCGCACGAGCACCCACCTCCCCACAGTACTGGGATAGAGGCAGTCGGCGCCTCAGAGGAGAGTCCTCTCTCAGCTGAACCTCGTGATGACCACCGCTGGCCAGTACCGCTCGCCCGCTGCGCGCACACCGAGCGAAAGTGCCTATCGACATTTCGTCTGCTGTCAAGGTACGACCGTTGATACTATCCGTATCGAACTCAATCCTCCGTGTAGCGCTGTCGCACGTCACCAGACAGCCTACTCAATGACGCACGAGCGACAGCCTCATTACACAACATGACACGGGCTGTGTTTCAGCGGCAGAAAAAAGTGCGGCTCACCTCGGGAGGAACCTCCGCCGGGAAAGGGAGCCACGGCGTGAGTAATGCCATTGCTGCGCCAGCCTTGCGCAGCAGCCTAGAGACA